AATAAATCCAGTAATAATAGAAACACCAAGTGTTTCTGACAAGTGCTAGTCTAAATAAATTGCATGTATTAACTCATTTAATCCTCACAGCAACCTGTTATCACTCCCATTTTCAGATGAGAAAACTGAGGACCAAAATAGCTAAGCAATTTGCCCTGAGGCCACACAGCCAGTGAGAGGGACAGTCCCACACACCTGGGGACTCAGGTGTTCTAGCTATGCTCTTTAGCAACAGGTGACCTGCTTTTCTAAAATCTCTCCTAGGAATTCAATCCAAAATCTGAAAGCACACAATGATTTACATCCAAGGATACACACTGCAAGATGATAATTGGGAAAATCAGAGACCATCTATATGTGCAATCATAGGAGACTAGCTAAATAATTACAGGTCATCCATACCATAGAATGCTATGCAGCAATTTTAAACTATGTTCCTGTGTTATTGATAAATAATGGTCCCCCCAAAGATGTCCACAACCTAAGCCCTAGAAACTGTGCATGTTAGTTTAGAACAACAGTGTACAGGTGTAATTACAAGGATCTTTCTAAGACAGATCTAAGACGGAGGCAAGAGGTCAAGAGTGGGTAAGAGATGGGAGATGGAAGAAAGAAGCTGAAGTAACTTGAGGATGAAGTCACAAGCCAAGAAATGCAGGTGGCTTCTAGAAACTGAGAAAGAGAAGGAAACAGATTCTGAGAGCCTCCACCAGGAACCAGACCTGCCAACACCTTGACATTAGCCCAGGGGACCTATTTTGGATTTCTTACCTTCTGTAAGATAGTAAATTTGTGTTGTTTTCAACCACTGTTTATGGTAATTTGTTACAGCAGCAATAGGAATATGCTAAAATGCTAATAAAATATTAAGTAGTTCAGGTACCGTTATAATCCACATTTTTACTTTTAAAAATGTGTCTATGTGGATAGGAAAAAAGGAACATGGAAAGGTACATACCAAAATGGTAACAGTGGTTCTGCCTTTTAGTAGTGCAATTATGGATAGCTATTTTCTGCTGTGTTCTATTTTATTTATCTTTTTTACATGGTATTTTTACAATTAGATAAAACATTAAATACTTTAATATTAACTTTTAAAAATAATTTTAAAGAAAAAAATCACATTTACTGGTAACAGTGACACAAACATTCAAATATGTTACATTTACTTTTACTTGTAAACATAGTAGAGCTTAGAAGAGATCCATCTCCTAGAGTCATTCTCATAAATCTGTCTACAGCTACCTTCCAGCCTGAGGAAAAGA